CATACTCGATGACGTGTTCGCGACCATCGTTCCCCTTCTGCGCTAGGATAGCGGAAATAGCTTCCGGTTGCCAGTCCGTGATGAGAATGAACTGCTTCGAGGGGTCCGGTCGAATCAAAATAGGGGYCGTTGCCAGAGCGTCCTTGAGGGTTGCAAAKGCCTGCTGGCACTCCGCGTCCCAGCTGAGAGGCTGGTCCTTCCGTARCAGATTMGTTAGTGGTCGTGCAATCGCGGCAAAGCCMTTGATGAAGCGYCGGTAGTACGACGCCAGTCCCAAGAAGGCTCGAACCTGCGTCAGTGACGTAGGAACCGGAGCTTCCTTCACCGCCGCAACTTTTCTCGAATCTGGCCGCAATCCTCCACGTGTCACRACATAGCCCAAGAACGAAATTTYCGAGARGAAAAATTCGCTCTTCTYAAGCRCAATCTTGAACCCAGCGTCTCTCAATGCACCCAATGTCCATTCGATGTGTTGCGCGTGCCCGTGATAGGTTTCCGAATAGAACAGGATGTCGTCCATGTACACGATCACGCAGAAGTTAATAATTCCTTGCGTCAGCCGTGTCTTGCTGACGAAGTTCTGGAACGTCATGTTCATCGCTCGCTGAAACGTGGCAGGCGCATTGCAAATCCCCATCGGACACCGAACCCACTGCCACGTGCCCTCAAACAACACAAAGGCCGTTTTCGACCGATCTTCTTCCCTTACCAAAATATGATGGAAGTCATGCCGGATATCAAACTTGCTGAAATAATTAGCGCATCCAATCGCATCCAACAGATCATCAATCCGGGGGAGGGGATACACATCTTTGATCGTGATTTCATTCAGCTTGCGATAATCAATGCAAATGCGAATCGCTCCGTTCTTCTTTGGTACTAACACCACGGGAAAGGACCAAGGTCCGGTAGCGGGTTCAATCCAGCCGCTGGCTTCAAACTCCCGAATTCGTTCGAGAGCCTTTTTGCGTTCAATCAAGGAGTAGCGATAAGGTTTGCAATGAATCGGGGTGCGATTTCCTGTCTGAATTTCATGTTGGATTACCAACGACAACCCAATGTCAGTGTCTGACACACTAATCGCTCCTTGATATTCCGTTAGAATATCCGCAATTACCCGGTGAATTTCATCCGGCACATATTGTGGAACGTGCAGTTCACAAAGCTGATCCCAGATCCGAACGTCAATCTGTTTCGTGTTCGCCTGTTTTGTCAAGTCGGGTGGAGGCGCCAAGATGAATGAATGATCCGATCGCCAGGAGAACACCGTGACCATCATCTGAGCATCTTCTTCTCGGATTGCCACGTGTCCTTCCGGGGCAATCCCGTCACAAACATCCTGCCATGGCACTTCCTTAGTTGCGATCTTTATCCCCAGTCCGTCTATTTCCGCTTCAAAACGCCCAGGGGGTTCCAGAGAGCTTGCTTTCGCCCCCAAGCGTAACAATCTCACTTCTTTAGCCGAGGTTAGTAAGGACTTGGGTAGATCCGTAATGTCACGGTAATGCTTCTTGTCGCTGTACCGGGCGAGGAGAGGGATGATTCCTTCGTACAGAGTTTGAGGGGGTTCCAAATAATCGACCATCCTCGAAATCTGCACGAGGGGCTCACCCAAGATCATCGCCTTGGTCCTTTGAATTTTTTTGCTGGTTAGTTGCATCGTTCTCGCTATCGTTTTGGGTGGCGGGTAACAAACACGTTGTCGTGCCAATTTCAAGATCTCCGGATCATCCTCGTCACTGCTTTCCGCATCATTTGTTGATGACTTCTCTTTTGCGGATTTCTCCCAGGAGATCATGCGGAGAGTTCCTGCCATCATCGGCGAAACCCGCGGAACCGCGTTAATAGTAGTGCGAAGGGTCAATCGCATGGGCACAGCGTAGGGTTTTCCCCCGGTATTTCGGAGGATGATCGATCGTCGTTCGAAGTCCAGGTTTGCTCGTAATGCCACAAGAGCGGGAAGTCCGAAGAGAATGTCGTACGTATTGACATCTAGTACTACGACATCCCCAAGCGCATGCACTTTACCCAATCGGAAAGCGACATTGGTCATTCTTCCCACGGTTTTAATTCTTTCTTCGTCAGCCGAAACGAGCTGATCTTTCTCAGGAAGCGTGATCAGGTCGTTTTTCCTACCTGCCCTTTCGACCACTCTCAGTGAGATAGCCAACACAGCTGCTCCCGAATCTATAATGGCATTGTAAGGAATTCCCGAAATTTCTATATCGCACTCGGTGGATTTCCACGGAATTGGTTTAATCCGCAGAAAATGATCATCTTTCTGGATTAAACCTGCCCGTATCGGATTCGACATACTTGCGGGGTTTTCTTCGGGCACGGGGCTTTTGGCTTTCACGTTCGGGGTTCGGGCAAGGGCGAATCGCTTTCGGTTCACTTTGCAATGCTGTAACATTCGCTCATTGGCTTGCTCGACGATCGAGAGTAGATGACCAATCGAAAGGGGAATCCGATGGTCCAAAGCTCGGATGATGTTTAATACATCAATTTCCCCTGTGACGAAGGTGGGTCCTCCCGATTCCATTTCTCCTACAGACGGTCGCCATTCCGCCACCTCTTTCGGTTCTGGTGCTGGTCGGATTGTTCCGATCATTCCAAGCCCAGGATATCCTAGCGATACGTACTGGTCTAGCGGGATTAGCTTGGTGGCCTCTTCCGAGGTAGCCAGGGCACTTCCCCCACCCTCTATTTATTCCATCAGGGCTCCGACTCGTCTAGGTCTGTTGGCAATGGGAGTTGCAGCCATAGGTGCGCCTCTGATCCGCTGTTGTGGGGGTCGGTGGGGGCAATCACGGGCTAGATGTCCGGGCTGATGACAGGCGTAGCAAACATTCAGATTGTTCGCAGCTCCCCCGAGAGCCGGGGCTGGGGCTAATCCTTGCTGCATCGGAGGGGCACGCACCGCAATGGGTCGCATGTTCCTCATCATGGCTTCCAACCGAGCATTGTGCTCTCGTTGCTCCTTTTTGCTTTCTTGGATCAAACTAATCAAAGTTTTGGTTAGTTCGAAAATGGCCGCCGATTCGTTTGATCGTACTGGAGCCTCAACCGGCGGCGGGGGTAATGCCCTGACGGGCGGGGGCATCATAGGAGCAGAGATGCTTAGAGTCTCACTTAGGATTACTCGTTTGGGGCCTATCTGTTCCATATAGGTGACAGGTCCTGATACAAACCCCATGTTTTCAAATTTGTTCTGTAAAGCAGCCAGCTCTGACCTCGCTCGTGCGAGCTCGGTCGAATCTCCGTCTCTAGGGTAGTCTTCTCCTTCCAGGAAGTTCGCCGCGAACTTCCGTTCCATTTCTTCTGCAGCAGCCATGATTTGTTGTAGCGTGTGAGTGATGGGGGAAAATTGCTTCCGCAACTTAGCCCTTATCGTTCGGCTGCGAAGTCCACCAATGAATAGATCTCTCCCTACTTGCTCACCTCGCTCAGTTCTTACGAACATTCTGTAGAACCGGTTTCAATATTCCGCGACGGATTCGAGCGGTTTTTGCACTCGGTCCTTGATCATGTACAGCGCTTGCTCAGGGTGGACATAATCAAATCGGTTCATGAAATCCCTTTCGAAGGTCGGGAGATCGACCCACACGTAGGTGCTAAACCAATGATGAGCTTCTCCCCCCAATCGGGCGGGAATGTTGATCTGCGCTTCATTGTCAGTATACTGTTGGACTCTAAGTGTGGCCAGCCATGCTCCTGCGAGATGGTGCGCCGGATCAAATAGATAGAGATCAGGTGGCGTCATGGGAGCTCGTGCACGTGGGGTGGGTTGATTAGGTGGATTAGCATTTTGTTGCGGAACCGGATTCTGCACATTGGCAGCCATATTGGCTGCTCGTCGGTTCGCCAATCTGCTTCAAGTGACGATAGGGTCGCGTCTATGCGCGCTCCGGGGGTGAGGTCGCCCATGGTTAGCCAGGTCGCCTAATTAACTTGCTATCAATCCTAAGACCCTAGCCACGTTGTAAGGAAACCCGGGGAGGGGCACCTACTGTTCGCTGAAGCCAAGGGCTACAGCGCCTGTCACTCACTGTGCCCGCTTCCGAGGTCCTCAGCGATGAGCAGGGGATATGGGGTTGAACAATCTGTCTTCCCCCCTCCTTTTAATGATGGACTTGGAACTCTCAACTGATCATGTGAATTCAATGAAAGTCTGTACTCAAATAAGATGCTCACAATGAAAGCTTAGACCATAATAAAGAGCTCTAAGTTTGGTTGCATATCTCGAACTCACTCTCTCGAGCGAGCGGTCAGAAGCGTGAGAGCGCCTCACGCTGCACCCGTCAACAGCCAAATCTGTTTTTTTTTTTTTTTACAACACATTACGGTTAATCGTTTATCTCAATTCACCAACTTTTGACACTCGAGCACGAAGTATGATCAACAGTAGTAGGCAACGTTTTCATTTAGGAGTAGGCCAGCAGACAGACCCCTAGCCCCGTGGAGAGAAAACCCAGCCGATTTGTTGAGTTCATGAATCCTCCCTCGCTGTGTTTATAAGAACTTTGCGGGAAATTGTAGGTTGCAACCCACAGTCCTTCATTCTCACAATGCTTCTAAGCGCACGTAGTACTGGCCTGGCAGGTCCGATCTGAGCAAGAGTTGTCCGTTGCCAAAGATTTATGCAGTACCGGGCTGAGGTGATGTTGGAAGGCCCCTGATCTGAACTCAATCAAACTCTCGTGGCGAACTGATTAGACATCAGTAGAATAGTTAGCAGCAGTTGCTGCCCCCGCTTTCCTCTCGTGAGCCAGATTACCATGCGAACCTGATTGATGATTAATGCCATCGTGACTATAACCCACTGCCAATGAAGAACACTAGCAAGTCGACTCAGCGCGCAATACACACCAGAGGAACCCTTGTGTAGTGACATCAACCACAGTATCAAGGATTGCACCTACGGCTACAAACAGCCCCCTTCCTGATTGTCCACCCACGTAGGCTGATGAGAGACCGCCACGTGGCCAACCAAAAACTTATATTGTAAGTGTGTGTCCGTATCATGTTCCCACAACACCAACATCAAACAGGTACACAGGCGCCCAACAGATGAGTCAGAGGTTGCTGGTCTGCAGTGCGCACGGGTGTGCGAGTGCAACGAGGTCCCGCCAGTGACACAGGAGGCTCTGTGCACAATGTGCGTGATGATTAATTGTCTGTTGTTCCCCCGGTAATTGTCCGCGCTTTCCCCGTCAATTGCGCAGGCAGACGTGGCGTGCTTTCACCATGCCCTTAACACCGCTCCTCCTTGAGTGCGTGCGTGACTGGGCGTATAACCATATGATACGCCTTCTTTCTCTCTCCATTTTGAGATCACATAACTCCCACTCTATTCCTCCCCCATGGACAGAGACGGCTCATGCTTGCTCCTATGAAGATCATCTAACTCTGCGAGGGAGCACATCCCGTAGATTGAGTTACAGCTCGCTGCCGTGACCGTTTTACGGAGTTTGGAGGAGGGTCATTGACTTTTCCTGGACATAAACACTATGTACTCTCTCCGTAATTTTCCATTTTCTTTTCCTCCCTCTTCATGCTACTTTGTGTGGAATGAGTATCAAAATGTTTGGCAAACCCTTGTGCCACGTGTCATATCTCTAGTCTCCAACAACTTGACCGTGCAAGTCAATCTGCCACGTGCATCAACTCATGAGCAGCTAGAAGCCCACTTCATGATTGATCGGTGAAGTCCAAAGGGCATTCCTGCAACTTGAACCCAATGTTTTCTCTACTTGGAATCAAGCCCTTGTTCTCGGCATATCCAAGCTAGATATATGAATAAAGAAAAATAAAACAATTGGTTAAACTGTCTTTCCAAGACAGAGGTAGATTCCTCCTACGCCTTGACTTCCGTTATATATACATTTCCAAATGTTGACGTACCTGTCTCGGCAGGATGGTTGGATGCATTCACGATATGCAACAGAAGAGAGGCAGGGGTTGTGACCCATCTGAGCATATGTGGGTGTCTTCTCGCATGGACATGTCCCCGTGTATTGAGCAGTGAATGTACTTGGCTCCTGATCATGGCCAGATCCTGTCACTAGTCAGTCTATCACCCAGTCGAGCTTAGAGTTTAGTGCCACATACAGTACGTTGCTACTGTCCATGTCTCGTCAGTCCTACCGTGTTTCCACTTGTCACGCGTGCATCACTCTCTCCCTTTCTCTCTCTCTCTCTCACACACACACGCACACGGGTCAATTAGCACAGGCTCCAATTCGAATGTATCTGTCCTCACTTAGGGCCTGATGCATGCAGCTCATAAACAACTGCTTTCTTTCTCGCGCTCTGCCCCTTTCGCCACCACTTTCTCTCTTCTCCGCCAGCGCGCTCACTCCCTGCTTAGCAGCTCATTCACTTTGGCGCGACCTCTCACTCACCCTCTCGCGATTCTCACTTTCCTTCTCTAGCGAATTTCTCTGGCTGACATGCGTGAACCTGCTGAGGCTGTCACTTCAAACTCAAATGCACTTGAGCGTGATCACGGCCCGATGCATCCACTTACAAGTAAATAAATAAATTAATTAATTAATATGGGAAGGTCCTTTCTTTCTCTCTCTCTATCACCTTCTTGGCATCTCCGTCCTCGCTCTCACGCTCACACACGTTCGATCAATCCCTTCCTCTCCCTCACTCTCTCTCACTCGCATCCTCGGCCCCACTTCCGCTCTCATTCACTTTCTCGCATGCACGCATGAAAGCTTTACCATTTTGTGCCCTTGCCCACAAGCGGATTCGCATTAGCTCAAAATTAGTTGTACTTGCCCAGAATTGGGACAGGTGCATAATCAAAACTGAAAAAGTAGGCAAATAAACCCATTTTTTTAAACCTCCATCGAGTAAATACTCAAATGGTGGATCTATTCTTAGCTGTGCGAGCCATGCAGGATGCAGTTTTCCGATTATGAGCACTCCCCTACCTGCCACGTCTTATGCCTAGTGAACAACATGCATTATTCTCTCTCTCATTTTCTAAGTACACTCTTTCTTTGTGACTGCTCTTTACTCCTGACTTTTTTTTCCCACGAGTACCTAGGTGTCTCCACCTCTATTTTTAGTAGATATTGACTGTCAGCTTCCCAGTGTGAGAATACATACTAACATTCGGCTCCTTTCTGCTCACGGAGGGCGTATAGCCTGATTCTATCATT